GGAGGACCAGCCACAGCTTCTCTGCCCAACCTGGGACACTGTCTCATCACCCTCACAGTGAAGAATTTCTTCCTCACATCTCAGCTCCATCTCCCCTCTGCCACTTTCAAGCCATCACCCCTTGTCCTGTCACTCCCTGCCCTTGGCCAAAGTCCCTCCCCACCTTCCTGGAGCCCCTTCAGGTACTGGGAGGCCACTAGAAGGTCTCCCTGGAGCCTTCTCTTCTCCAGGCTGAACAGCCCCAACTCTCTCAGCCTGACCTCACAGCAGAGCTGCTCCAGCCCCCGCATCACCTTCATGGCCTCCTCTCGACTGGCTCCAGTAGGTCCATGCCCTTGTGTTGGAGGCCCCAGAACTGGATGTGCTGAGCACAGCACTCTGAGGCCAGGTGTGCCAGCATTCACCCCTGACTCCTCACCGATTGCCCTGGAGAGGTTGAGGCCGCCATTCACTCTCCCATCCATGGTGACCTTGCCGCCAGCATTCTTTATCCGGGCCAGCTCCACCTCATCCTCCGGCTTGTGGTCGTATGACATGTCAACAGCTTTGCCACCTTCTGACACCACGCAGCGAGAGTCTCCGGCATTAGCCACGATCAGCTGCTTGCCCCGGATAAGCGCCACGACGGCCGTTGTCCCACTGTCAGAGCCAGGCTGCAAGAAACAAACAGTTTTGCTCAGACTCCTTTCACTCGCCCTGTGTCAGGTCAATAAGGGAACCAGCAGGAGCCACCACAAGCTCAGCAGTGTCCCAAACCCTGAGGTACTGCATCTCACCCCTTCTTCCCATAAATACACAGAGAACAATGGAGAAAAGCCTGAGGGAGATGTGAAACCCAGGAGTGAGCTCCTTGAGAGGCAGCGTCAAGCAACACCTCCGTCCCAGCCTCACAAAGCATCAGTGGTTCAGGATTCTCCAGTGTTCAACATCTCCTGCTCTTACCCTCATCTCCAGTGTGTTGATTCCAGCCCCAGTCCTGCTCAAGCAGAAACTTCACTGCCAGCCAGGACATCCCTCCCAAGAGAGGAGGTTGGCACCTTGGAAGCTGCAGTCCCCTTTTCCTGACATCCCGGGTCCCTGGCCCCTCTGCCAGCACTGCCATGGGCTGAGGAGCCACAGCCTTGGCCTGGCAAAGAGCAACGCTCTGCCCAGGGGCAGCAGTGGCAGCACAGCAATCCTGCTGCTGTCCTCTACTCTCCTTCCACACCAAATGCCACAGTGGTTCCTAAGCACAGCAAACCCATCAGCGGGGTCAGCCTCTTCCAATCTCGACCTGCTGCCCAGATCCATGTCCTTATCCCTCAGCCTTCTGCCCAGTCAGGCTGCCAGCAGCTGTGTTCAGCCTCAAGAGAACACACCGGGTGTTTCATCCCCATCTGAATGGAAATAACCCCCTGCTGAGTCCCACCCAAGTGCCCTTGGCTTGAAACTATGCTGCAGAACACAAGAACAGGGTGTGCACCTCCTCTTTGCCCTCCATGCCTGGTAACAACATTTCCTCCTCTTCATCCTCATCCTCCTCTGCTTCTTCAGTGTCATCTTCGTCATCTTCATTCTCTGCCTCTTCACTGCTGTAACCATCCTCATCTTCACTGCATTCCTACAAGAAACAAGAGATACCACCAGGAGTCATACAGGACACTCGCAGTGCCCTCCCCAGACAGTTGGTCCCTCCATCCAGGGGACAGGTAAGTTCACCCCAGAAGAGTGAGATGAGTTGGTAGATGTTCCCCACACCTGATGTCTACAATCAGAGCAGCTAGTTTCAACTACCACAGTGAATGGAGGGATGGTGCATGCAGCAAGACCAAGGGCCATCCATTACGGCCGCTGCACAGATGAGAGTATGTTTCCTTCAGGGTTATCTAAACAGTCCCCAACACTCCCACGAAATGGTCTCAAAGTATCAGCCTGAAAAACCTACTCCCAGGACACACCTAGGATGAGCCAGAGGCTCGTAGCTCAAGTACCACAGTAAGCAATGCATTCTGCCCAGCCAGAAGGCCACTCTGTCCCAGTGCTGTTTCCTACCTCACTGTCTTCCTCCTCTTCCTCAACCTCATCTGACTCATCCTCACTGTCCTCAAAAAATTTGGATTTGGTTGTGCGCTGGGGCTTCCCCGTAGAGGAGCAGGAGGGCCCGGCCTCCCCAGTAGAAGAGGTGACGGCCTCGTCACCTTTGCCTAGTTCAGGCTTCTGCAGAGCAGGGCTGTTGCCTCCAGCGCTGGCTTTGTCTGAGGTGGAGGAAATACCCGTGATTTCTTCATCTGGCTTCCCATTCTTCCTCTCCTTGTGGTCGGTAAGCTCCCCTGGGTCAGCCTCTCCATTCATATTTGACTCCCCATCATGCTGCTTGCCTGTCCCCTCTGCAGCGCTCTCCCCAGCTGGAGCTAAGGACTTGTTTTTGAGGTTCTTGGTGCAGTTTTGTCCGTAACGTGTGAGAAGCTCCTCGATGGTCATGGTGGCTTCCTCATGCAGAAGAGCAGCTTCCTCATTATCCACTAAAAATGGAAAGGGGGAGGGGGGTGAGGACAAAGAGGGTCAGAAAGCAGGATACATCACCAGAGCAGCAGCGGTGCGGCACAGGCTGGGTCCAGCAGTGACCTGCCCTGACTGGAGGTTGCTGTTGCAGGTTTCAGAAACAGGTTCATCACCAGCAGGCACAGACAAAGGCGGCCAGGCCAGGCCTGCCCCGTCCCACAGCTTCCAGATGCTGCAGATGAACAATATGGAAAGGGCAGGGGGGTGTTTTCTGTCCACAGCCAAGGCATGCAGGCTGCAAGCTGCCCTCGTGCCTCCGACGCTGCCTGCCTGACTCGCAGGCAGCGCAGAGCGTTTGAATCAGCTCTAAGGCTGGAGGGAAAAGTGCCCCATATTTCATGAGCACAGGCCCACCTGAAGCTGTGGGGGAAGCAGACAGACCACTTCCGTGTGCAGATCTGTTCATTAATACTGCAACCAGGAATGAGAAGTTTTTGTTACAGCAGTTGCTCCATGTGCCTGAAGCACCCCAGGGATCCCAACCCGCTGGCATCGAGACACTCGTGGACAACGGAACAGCTTCAGGCAGTGAACGCAGCATCTGCCCAGTGGGACTGGACAGGAAACAGGATGACTTCCCCTAAACTATGAGCCAATGACCACTGTTTCCCTACTGACATCCCCTTGGTTAGCATTTTCTTTGCTAATTAATCCCAAAAGGAAAAGAAATACCCACATCATAAATGCTCACAGAACCCCAGGATGGCCTGGATTGGAAAAGCCCTTTAAGCTCATCAAGTCCAACCATGAACCCAACACTGACCAGTCCCCGACTAACCCATATCCCTCAGCACTATGTCTACACGACTCTTCAATCCCTCCAGGGATGGGGACTCCACCACTGCCCTGGGCAACCCCTTCCAATGCCTCAGAACCCTTTCAGCAAAGAAATTCTTCCTCACATCCCATCTCAACTGCCCTGGACACAACTTCAGCCCATTTCCTCTTGTCCTGTCCCTTGGGCCTTGGTTGGACAGACCCCCCCCCACCTCTCTCCACCCTCCTCCAAGGGACTTGCACAGAGCCACAAGGTCTCCCCTCAGCCTCCTTTTCTCCAGGCTCAACACCCCCAGTTCCCTCAGCCACAAGGGAACTCAGCACACTTGTGCTCCAGACCCTTCCCCAGCTCCGTTGCCCTTCTCTGGACACGCTCCAGCACCTCCATGTCCTTCTTGGACTCAGGGGCCCAACACTGAACCCAGCACTCCAGCTGCGGCCTCACCAGTGATTCCCAGTGCAGGGGGAAGAGAACTTCCCTGCTCCTACTGGCCAAGCTACTCCTGAAAGTACAGGACAGAATGAAGAAAAACCCAACCAACCAACCAAAAAAACCACTTTGTCCCTGTCAGCTGGAGAACGAGGGCCAACAAATTCAGCATTTCCAGACCTACAGACAGTGTTCAGGGTGACAGTATCACTTTACATCTGCTTCAAGGCTGGTCACAATATATACAGCTGACAGCAGCACAGGATTCTACCCTGGGATTCACCTTCTAGCTGGCTTCATGGTCTGGCAGCTATTTGCTGACGGAAAAGCACATTTGCTTCTTTGTGAGATAAGAATTGAAGAGACCAGAGTCTACTTCAGTCCTGTCTGCAGCTGGTGTCTGCCATCAGCCTGGGGGAGCCAAGCACTGGCCATCGTACTGTTTCTCTTCACAATTTAACCCACTTCCCAGCTCTGAGGTATCGACATATCCCAGAACTCTGCACCCCAAGGTGTGCAGCCACATACCAGCCTGAAGCCATGAACAGCGCTGAGGGCTGGCACTTCAACTCCAGCTGGAATTTAACAGAGAAATGTGGACAGAAAACCTTCTGCTAAAGGAGACCTGGCCCAGCTGCTCTCAGTCCCTGGCCTGGACCTGCAGTCGTGTCTGACTTACCATCGTCTTCATCAGCAACTTTCTCCTTCTCATCTTCATCATCTTGGGGTCGCCCAGCCATCTGAGAGAGCTCTTTAATTACCTCCTCAGTGGTGAGCTTGGCATCTATGGCTAAGAAAGCATCTTCCAGGGCCTACGTATGAACACAGACATGAGAGTGTGCACAGTTTCATCTTCCTTACAGGACGCCTGCATGTCATGTTGTGCAATCAAGTCTCTTCCAGAACACACACCCTCTGGCACACAGCTGCTCCTCCCAGGTTGGTGCCACCTGCAAACCTGCTGAGGGAACACTCTGCCCCATCCTCCAGATCATTAGTGAAGATGTTAAACGGGACTGGGCCCAGTATTGAACCCTGGGGTACCCCGGTTGTTACTGGTCTCCAACTAGACTTTGTGCCACCCACCACCCCCCTCTGGGCCTGGCCATGCAGCCAGTTTTCAATGTGCCTCGCTGTCTGCACATCCAGCCCATGCTTCAACTGCTTCTCCAGGAGGATCTTATGGGACACTGAGTCACAAGACTTGCTGGAGCCCAGTGGGCAGCACTCAAAGGCTCAGCATGCAGGCTCCTCTGCTCAGCAGACAGTGAGCACAGCCAGCTTGGGAGCAGCAAAGCAGGATACTTGGGTGTTTCAGCCCAGAGCAAGAGCCACAACGTTTGCTGTGCAGGCTGTCCTCAGTCTGGATGTAAATGGAAGTTCTGGAAGGACTGCCTTCCCCTCATCCGCACTGCTACAGACCCCAGCACCAACCCACACAATAGAATCACTGAATGGTTTGGGTTGGAAAGGTGGGACCCCTGCACCTGAACTGGCCTCCCCACACCTGAGCAGCCCCCCATATGAGAGCAGCCCTCCTCCTTCATAACCAGATCCCACAGACCCAAGCAGCCCCCCTGTACCCCCACAGCCTCCCCTTGGCCAAGCTGGGGGGCGGGGCCAGGAGGCGGGGGCGGGGTCAGAAGGCGCTTGGGCAACATCGGGAATACCCGATGTCGGATCAGGCATTAGCACTATGAGGGAGAATTACAACAGAAGGATCTCTTGGTGGAAGCGAGACATGAACTAGCCTCACACCTCTGACAAAAGCTACCCCTGCCCCCCAAAAAACAACCCATCAAACCACCCAAAGAACCAGCCCACACCTTTGACTGGAACAAGTCTGAACATTTACCAAAAATTAAAAAAAAACCCCAAGCAAGCTGGAAAATAGAAAATTTATCTTTGAAAATACCATCAACACCTGGTGCACACTCCTAGAAACAAGGGAAGGAAATTAAAATGGATGACGTGGCAGACAGACCTTGGAGGAACGGGGCCCTGCACGTAAGTATGAGGCACCTAAACAAGGCTTTGCTCTGCATTGGTGCTCACTTGTTTCAAGGCAGAGCCAGACTCTTACCTTTTGCAATTTGCCCTCCTTGTAGGCCTTCTGGTCTTTGATTATCTCAGGAAGATACTTGGCACAGTACAGGGCAACTTCTTCTCCTGAAAAACAGCAGAAATCCTTTAAAGAGGCTGGTCCTCCCAGAAGCAAAACGCACTCCTGAGCAACCCAATTCCTGAGGCAAATCTTGGGACACAAACCAGAACCAAGCCAGACATGGAAAAGTCACCCAGCAACAGGCTGCTGCGGGTCTCACCCACACCTCCCAGCAGGCTGCATCTCCAGAACAGCGGGATTTGGTGATGACCCCTGGCAAACCTCAACGAGTTCTTACCCATCAGGTTTGGCTAATGCTGTAAGCTTCCTGAAAGGGAGCTGAGGCCCATGTTGGCACTTAGGCCAACTGTTTAGGTCTATCCTACCTAGGAAGCTCTACTTTCACATGTTACAAGCAGGGGAAAAAGGAAGCTCTTGGTCAATGTAAGCTCTTTCTGAGAGTATTACCGACACCTGACGAGCAGCACAAAGTGTTATGTCTTTTAGTGCGTGTTCCAGACCAATGAGGATACGATGCTACACCCCTGAGATAAGCCCTTCAGGAAGATGGGGTTCTGACTGGCAGAGCAGTCACCCTGGTACTGGAAGGGGTGTGTGTGTGCACAGCACAAGTGAACGATGACCAGAACACCAAGCTGCTGGGAGGACAGAGGGTAACTGGGATTGACAGTCAACAACACAAACCCAGCGCCCACGCCTAGAGCAGCTGGAAGATTTTTAAAAGCTGCTCAGTAATTAATACTGAGTCAAGTACACAATAGAGCACAGGAGACATTTCTTGTGATGACGAAGGTGCTATTAAGAGAGGAAGAAGATTAAACAGTGAGGGACTGTGAATTTCTGTAGTTCATCTTGACAAGGGGGACCGGGAAGAATAGAGCGACTTGCAAGATACCAATCTAGTAATTTAGGTTTTCATATGAGAGGTGAAGAACGATGCAGGGCACAGGGACCCCGGTCTCCAGCCTCCACATGCTGCCAGCTTCCCTGTGGCTACAGGTAACGGCAAGAGAGCCACGTGTGCTCCCTCCTCCTGCCGAGAGAAGGAAGAGCTGTAACAGCCACTCAACTCTCCATCTCCCTGCCAACACCTCTGTGCTTCCCTCCCTTTCTTCCAGCCAAGGATGTGCAGGCAGCTGGGCGAGCAGAGAAGGAATGCACACAAGAGAAAAGCTCTGTGAAGGGTGGGGGACGGATGGGAAAGCGTCAGAAGGCTGGGGAGTGGGTAGCTGTCACCTGAGCAAAGGGAGAGGCAGAGGGAATGTACCGGGAAGCAAAAAGAGGGTAAGATTTGAGAGAAAGAAACAGCAGACAAGGAACTTTTCAAATGTGCCTGCAGAGAAGGGATCAAGTGGCCACTGACAAAAAACAGAAACCTTGCCAAAGGGTCGCTGCTAAAATATCGCTGCAAAAAGTTCAGCCCTGCAGCTCTAGGCAACAAAGAGACCGAGCTGAGCTCTCTCCTGGCCGTGCTCTCAAAGATGCCGTGTGGGAGGAAAAGGGGAGGGGGGGGGAAGGAAGATCACGGAAAAATAGGAGTGACCGTGGGATTTTAATGAGAACTTAAAAGGGAATACCAAGGTGACAAAGACTGGCTGGCCCTTACAGGATCTCACATGAAGAGACTGAATTAATGTCCACTGACACGGGCTCATGGAAGCAGATCTTGCCAATCCAACTCAACATCTGCTCTTAAAGACACTATGATTTTGCCTGATAAGACTAAGCATGCTGATGCAACAGATTTAGGCAAGGTATATAACCTCCATATACATATATTATATATAACTTACATACACTTATATGTAGATAAGACAGCAATCTGCTTAAAAAGCTAAACTTCCAAGACAGCACATGCTGAATAGATTAAAGAACTGCCAACTACCAGTCATAGAATCATAGGATGGTCTGGGTTGGAAGGGACCTTCAAGCTCATCCAGTCCCAACCCCCCTGCCAGCAGCAGGGACACCTTCCACTAGACCAGGTTGCTCAAAGCCTCATCCAACCTGGCCGAGAACACTTCCAGGGAGGGGACATCCACAACTTCCTTGGGCAACCTGTTCCAGTGTCTGACCACCCTCACAGTGAAGAACTTCTTCCTAATATCTCATCTAAACCTCCCCTCTTTCAGCTTAAATCCATTTCCCCTTGTTTTGTCATTAACTGCCCTTATGAAAAGTCCCTCCCCAGCTTTCTTGTAGCCCCTTCAAGTATTGGAAGGCTGCTATAAGATCTCCCTGGAGCCTTCTCTTCTCCATTCTCATCTCATGAGGTGAAACTCAACTAAGCAGCACATGGGAAGATGTGTTTTCATGCAGTCTTGAAGGACTGGCTCCAGATGACACTGTAACATTTTTATCAAAGAGCCAAAATAAAACAAAATTTCTATGAGGAAATTATAGATGGTGGGAGTGGTGAATAATGACACTGAGAAGTCTTCAGATCACTTGATGAACTGGAGGGAGCGAGCAGGGGCTACTCAGAGAGGTACAGCTACCAAGGAAAATGCGTGCATAGTCTTGGACCATGGCAGAAAACCACCCAGCAGAGATGAGATGGTCCTGGAACAACAGGCCAGGAGCACAGTCCTTTTGTTTAGGCTGCTTTTACTTAGAGAGAACATCAGCAGGCCACGAAACAGGAGCCCTGAAACACTGGCAGAGAACACCAACAGCTACTACATCCTCGCCCATAAGACAGGGATTGAGCGGAGCAGCACGGTCCAAAGGCTGCCAGAGCAGTTTGCTGCAGGGACACGAGGCTCCACCATGGGCAGAGCTGTTCCAGGCGAGTTCCAGGACTTGGCTGCCACCTTGGTCGAGACCTAGACGTCGACAGTGATGTACTCACACACAAAGGGCTGACCACTGAGCAAGGCAGTGCATGGAGCGTGCCTCAGCAGTCTGAGGAGGAGGAAAACTAGAAAACTGCAGGAATATCTCACCTCACATCAGGAACTACAGGACAGGGATCAGGATCAGGCCCAGCAGGCTGCTGACGTGCCTGCTGGTCACTGCAGAGGGCAGCTGCCATCTCCTCCAGTTTCTCTTCCAACCTGCAATCATTCCTGCCTGCCCAATCTGGACCAGTGTAACGGCACTGACAGAATCACAGAATCACACAGAATCACAG